ATACAGGAATTCTCTACTCAGGAAGTTAGCGATATCCTAAACCTCTTTAAACTAGTCTTTGACCTTTGGAAGAACGCCTAGATTTGGATTCGTCTTCCTACGTCAAAACTCATATTTGAAAGTTTTTCAAACCAATCCTACTGAAAATTAACCGTTAATTTGTTTGTTTGCCTTGCAAAAAAAAATGTTTGAAAAACTTGTTTTTACCCAGCTTAAGACTGTTCAAGCAATTTGAAGTACAATCAATTATATATTTAAAGCGATGCAGCTTTAAAAAGTAAGCTAAAATGTAAAAAACACATTTTTCTATTTTTAGATTAAATTATTTTTTCTGCGTCGGGATAAAAAGCTGGCGGCAATTTTCTTTTGTGGAAATTCCTGGGACTGAAACATCGCAAGGCTAAAAAGAAATAACAAGAACAATTATTTGAGGTATTTGTTCACAAAGAAAGAAATTCTCGACAAAATGGCCGAAAAAAGTAGAAAAAAGGACGGCAAATAGTTATGACAGATGATAAAGAAAGACGCGGATCAAACAAAGACTAACTTCGGTGTCCAACTTGGAATGTTCAAGGCAGGTGAGCATTTTCAAGTACAATCTGAAAGAAATAACGAGAAGGGAAAACAAAATAAGGAAAAAATAAAAAACAAACAAACAAACTGAAATTTGTGCAATATACTGTCCTATAGATCATCGTGCAAAATATATCATATCTGTTTGTATATTCGTTTTGCCTGGATTAAAATGACATCGTCTGAAGCGACAAAAAGGTCATAAAAATTACATTCCTGTCATAAATGATTACACGGTAGTAGTTTAACAGCCGCTTGTAAAAATGTCTCTCGGCCTTCGAAACAAGTTGGTGTCTAATTTGACACAAAGTGCTTAATGCATTTTTAATGAGCCCCAAAGTGAAAATTCAAGGCACTTTATGGGTAAACAGGAGACACTTCTTAGTGTTGTTCTGATTGGAAATTAAATAAAGGTGTTTTAATTTTAAGAAACATAAATTAGAAAAAAATTGCGTTGTAGATTTTTGTGATGTTTTTGTATTTTAAAACTTATCTTTCCGACATAACCGAGAGCTAAAATGAAAAAAGCCTGCCTACATTTGAGTCTAGAATAATTTCATGAAAGGAAATATCACTGTGAAGAAATATTTGTTTTCGCCTGAATCTTGATTGCTCGTGTCGTACGGAGCCCAATTTTGCAACTGGATCCTGATTCTGCCAAAGAATTTTGTCAAGCTGATTTTCCAAACTCTCCCTAAACATTATGAAAAATGGTTACAAAAATAGTTAAATATTTCGGAAACTTTTTTATAGGTTGGCCGCGCTGATTTTCAAGCTCTTCCAAAGAATCTTAGTTTAGAAAAAACTCTTTACTTCCAAAATTAACAGCTGCACTTTGATTTGAATTATCTGTAAAAACCAGGAAAACAGTTTTTTGTAAGACTGGGTCTTATGTAAAATCAGATATCTTATTTTAGACCCACAGGTGTATCCCAAAAAAGCGTCATTCTTAGCTGCTTTTATAAGCATGAAAGTGTTGAGCAAATTTTAATGAAGAGACTGTATTGTAGCTGCAATGAAGTCATTATACAAATTTCCCCCATTATCAATAACAAATAGTTTGAAGTTTTTGCTTAGAGCAAAGTTTTAGAAATGAAAATTCAGCCACTATGAAAATTATTTGATGAAACGAGAGTCATGCCAAATTAGCTAAATAAGTAAACGTCAGATCGGATGAATTGAGTATGCTATCATATCTATATCTTTCGGTGTGTTTTAAAAATTAAAAAAAGTGTTACCAAAGAAAAAATTTTAAGAAAGTTTAGACATCAAATTAATCAATAATTTGACAAGAAACCCAATAGGTTCGAAGTACCTATAATTATTTCCCAGGAGCAGTTATTAATTATTTTGAGAAGCTAAAATTAGGGTACAAGAAAGTCAAAAAGTATGGCAATGACAAAACTTTATGGTATCGCAATGAAAAAACTAAATTTAGTTTTTTTTCTTCAAAAAATGTGAAGAAAAATTTAAATTTTTCAAGCTTTGATTCCCAAAATGAAGCTGAGAAAGTTAATTTTTAAGGTCTTAAATTAGGCATAATTCAGCTTGTAAGCCTGTCCCGCTTGCTGTATTCGCTCGAATTAAGACAAAAAATCTAAAATTTCAAACCGACTTTTCTCAACACTGGGAAAAATTTTTGGATTTTTTCTAATGTGGTTGTAATCACGATTGAAAAGGTTTTAATATTATAGATCACTCAACCCATTCCAATCATTATTTTTGGTATCTGATTTTGCGTGGAAAACAAAAAGCAAAAAAAAAAACAAAAAAAACTAAAACACACCCAAAGACAAAGTTCCTTCCCATTTTCAATGGTCGGAACAACAAGACTGCTCGCTGCTCGTAAACTGGAGAAGGAGGCTGAAAATTCCTACTGATTTTTGAGGTCGATGTTAAGGTCTTAACGAATTGTTAGACAACGTCGGAAACAATGAGTTTTTTAAGTTTTATCCTGTCAGACGCCATAAAAAGTAAAAATTGATACTAAATGCTCTCAGAATAATTTGCTTACAAGACTGCTCGTATCTGGAATCTGGGCGAAGCTTTAAGTGTTCTAGTTTTTTTTTAAATTGTCCCTCCGCTCACTATACAAATTTCAAATGATATATTTTGCATATAGCGAAGTAAAAAATAGACAAAATAGCATAGCTATTAAAAGCACAAAATAAAATGCGCGCTAATTGTTCAAAATTAGCCAGATCGGCAGTTTGTAAACCTCAATAGCTTCACAAAAATGATCAAATTTTTCTAAATTGAGGTCAAAACAACAAAAATTTTCTAATGCTAGAAAAAATTCTGTGGAAAGCTGCTGGTTAAAAAATTGAAACTTGTCTGGAGAAAAAATCACTACCCCCTCACAAACAATTTACAGTTTGCCTCAAAGATCGGAACAAGTTGCAGAATTGCACATCACGCTAAATGTTTACTGGAAAATGTTCGAAAATGAAAATATATATATATATATATATATATATATATATATATATATATATATATGCAGTAGCGGATTTAGTGGGCGGGCGGACGCCCCTCCTCTGGGATTTGACCCCCTGCCGACCCAAAGGGTCATCCCTTTATACTTTTTGGAGATCTCCTTTTTTGGTGACGGACCCTAAAATTTTTCTAAAGGCGCCTTCGGAGCCAATATATACTAATTTTGAGGGAAGAGCGCGCGCCAAAAAACCGCCATTTTTTGGTCAAAATTTTCAAAAAAGTGCCTATGAACGCCCGCCGTTTTTGACCTTTTTTCAAAAATTTGCCTGCGGTGCAGAAAATAATTTGGTCAAATATACATATAAATAAATTAGCACAAAGTAAAATTATTTTAAGTAATTTTGATCACTTCCAAAGTTTGGCTTTGACACCATTTGAATTTAAAGTTCAATGACCGGGAACAGATTAAGAAGAAGAAACACACACCCCCTCCCCCTCGGGGATTCGAACCCCTCGCCAAGCGAAGAGTCTCCCCTTTTGTATTATTTTGTGTCACTCCTTTAGGACGATCAATATTAATATTTTTCTTAAGGCGACTTTGGTGCCAACTTTAGAGGGGAGCGCGCACCGGGAAAAAACGTGACTTTATGATCAAAAACTCTCCAACCAATGCCCAAAAATGGAATTTTCGACCAGTTTCTCAAAAAACTTACCACACTTATTTTGTGAAAATAGGGTCTTTATCATTATCTGGGGTGCTCGGGAAATCAATTTGGTCGGCCTAAAAAAGAAAATGGTGAACAAAGTTTTCGAAAAATTTCCATTATTCAATGTGTTCTGAAACGCCGTTGATTACCATTTTTGCATTTTGCAGTTTTCCACGTTGATTCAAGGCTCGTGATATCTGGCTTGTGTTTCTTAGTAATATCGATCCAATTCTGTCATGAATTTTTATAATTTCATTTTTCATAGTTTAGGGGGTTTTTACCGAAACGAATCAAATTAAGTTAAGCAATGTCTTAAGCAATGCAGTTCTTTTTTTGATGTATAGTAAAAATAATTGCAGAACGTATTTTCAAACGGTTGAAATCAAAACCAATCTATGATAAAAACTCATCGAGCTGTTTTATTTGAGTGTAAGCAAGCTTTACACATGTTTGGCTGCTTGCCACATCTATAAACTTTTTTTCTCACCCAAATCAATCAAACAATCAGAGCTCTGATTGATTCTATGCGATATGGAAACATTTCGAGTGGATATATAAAAGCTCACTTCAGGGCGACATGAAGTTAAGAGAGGTAGTTGTAATTGCACTCGACTGAGTCAAGTGCCATTTCACCCTAGTTCCTTAGTCTACGGATTAACAAATGGGACAGAAAATAACAAAAAAAAATACATCAAAAAATTTCGTATCTACGAAGTGGGAGGAACTGTAATTTAAATCAAATATGTCATGTTGTATTAGAGCTGAAACCAAAAAACTTCAATGTGTTCTATAAGTTGTTGATTTTGTGGGTTGTGATAGGGTTTATTGTGTACTATAAGACAAAAATAAATCTAGATTATTCCTAAGGTAAGATTGCTGTTCCATACAGTTCAAAGTTAGCATCTACGCCCTTACCCCTCCCTCTCTCCCTCCCCCTGTCCCTCTCACTCCCTCCTCTCCACCATCGAATGTTTGGACAGATGTCATTTTGACAAACTCAAAACAGAACGAGATATCTGAAATGAGACACCTGAGCACTAAGAGGCATATGAAAACGGGCCGTGCTGGCTTAATGGCACTCGCTCATACGACTCAAATGTTTTTTTTTTTAATTTATTTAAATAACTCTGTAAGTAGATATCGTTTGGAAACAATTTATTATTATAAATCTAAGCAAAATTTCCTAGATTGATTCAGAACTATTCCTTAATCAACAAAATGCTGTCTACTTTTTAAAAAAAGCTGACCGTGTAGGTGGATTGCACCCTTTAATTGTAGCCCAGATATTATTACCAATTTAGCTTAAAATATTTAAGTATTGTCTGCCTAATAAAACATAATCTCCGTCTTGAAAAAAGAAGCAGGAAGATGTTTCTATTTGTCTAAATATTGGCCAATCAGGTTTGAGCAGTGGGGATTGTATGTATCATTGATCAGGTAAATTGTTCATCTCCTTATTCTAATCTCCATAATTCATTATTTCAACACAGCGTATCCCTTTTCGCCAGCCAGCGATGAAAAATTAATTTCATGAAACTTCATCTAAAACTCACAAAACAAAAATATCCTCAGCTTCAATTACTTTCTTAAAATAACTATCAAAATAAGTCTTTTTAAGCAAAAATTTTTGTTGCAAAAGTTTGCTCATTGATTTTTGAAAAGACAAAACCGTTAGCTCACAGTCTTGCAAGTGAGTGCATTAATAAAAAATACACAAACAACAAAATAGTTTTGAATGTTTTTCCCAACAAACTCGATTTCCTTGGTCGGAGCTTCGCAGCAAATCAATCACGTGTCCAAAAACTCCATGCAAAGCCATACTTCCGAACACCTTCAGTCTTTGGTGGATTGCAAACCCATAATGCACAACAGTGCCACGGCAGACCAGTTGCAGGCAGCGGCGGCCGCCGGATTGCACGCGCAGCACGGCAGTGTCACCGGGTCGGCCGGAGGATCACACGGCCATAATGAGTTCAAGTACTCGGCATCGCCTTTCCAAATAAGGCAGAGAACTGCATTTGCTCCACCGCCCACAGTGAGTAGACCTTCTTGAACTCTTTCACCAAAGCTCCGTGTGAAAAAACTATTGACAAATTTTATGACAAACGGAGAAATTCAGGTAGAAAAATTCAATCGGAAATCGTTTCGACCATTTTCAACTATATTGAATGAATTGAATTTTTTAATATTTCCAAATGCTCCAGTAAATGTTAAGAAAACTCTTTTCCGCTCTATTTAAAGTTCATTTTCGCTGATTTTAGCGATAGAAAAAAAAAACATCTCAATTGTATAATAGTTAAATCTATGGAAATTGGAAAGACTAATTTTGAAGGATTTCTATTAAAGTCAACTAGCTAAGTGGAACCACGCTGTCGTGGCCACTTCTCGTTAAGTTGAACTTTTCGCTTACTAATTGTTATCCTGTTGGGTCTAGGTCTTAATACCCTAATACTTGACAACTTAAATGTAACTTAATAATTCATGGAACAAAAAAGAACAACAACTACAATCTTTCAAAAATAATCTGAATTATCAAATCACTACCGTTTTCAAAATTGAAACATCAGCGAGCAATGAATTAAAATATTTTGTAAGCTTTTTTAAGAAATTGTGTTTTCTTTTCAGAGCAACTTCTTCGGACACCCTTTCGATGACTCATTCTTCCGAGCAGACTCGCTGACTTCGAACCACATGAACCACATGGCTCCCAAACCGATGGACTACAAACCACACGAGTACTTCTCAACCATGATGGCCGATATGCAGAACAACGCTGCCAGATGCTCACAACTGGATCTGCTAGACCAGATTGCCCCCTCGGTTCAATTCGGGGGAGGGGCTGACCAGCAAGTGAACTCATTTCACCCGGCTACTCACATAGGGTTTCATCCCTCGTTCGGTCACGGCAACATGGCAGCTGCTGCAGGTCTAGCGGGACCCTCTTCATTTCCTCAAATTACGCACGTACCTCAAGCCGAAGTTGAGGCGGATCCGAGAGAACTAGAGGCGTTCGCCGAGAAGTTCAAACAGCGGCGAATCAAACTCGGGGTGACTCAAGCTGACGTCGGCAAGTCTCTTTCCCACTTGAAGATACCAGGAGTCGGAAGTCTGAGCCAAAGTACGATTTGTCGTTTCGAGTCTTTGACTTTGAGTCACAATAACATGGTTGCCTTAAAACCAGTTCTGCAAGCTTGGCTCGACGAAGCAGAGGCGGCAGCTAAAGGACGTCTATCTGAAAAACAGTCCAGTTGTCTGTCGGTTGTTGACAAAAAACGAAAACGCACTTCGATAGCGGCGCCCGAGAAGCGATCTCTTGAGGCTTACTTCACCGTGCAGCCCCGACCGAGTGGCGAGAAGATTTCAGCGATTGCCGAAAAATTAGACCTGAAGAAAAATGTAGTGCGTGTTTGGTTCTGCAACCAGCGACAAAAACAGAAAAGACTCAAGTTCGCAGCCGGGCGATAAATTAAAGAATAGAAAAACTATTCAAAATGGCTCCAAAACTTCTAACAGGAATGAACTTTTATTTTTGACCTGGTTTTCTTGTATATTTGACACTGCTGCAGGCGTGACAGACAATGTAAATGTGTAAATAAGCCGACTTCTAATTTGTATTTTTATAGTAGAATTAATCAATTTTCATCAATTTTTCTCTCAAAACTCGATTAGAGTCCAAAAAAGATGCCCATATTCTGAACGAAATTAGATTTTGTAATTTTGTCAGTATTATACAAACATTCAGTATCAATTTGAAGTTTGAGTTATTTAGTGAGCACATATAACTAACAAATCATACGGTAATTTGGAAAGAACGCGCCAAAAAAATGTATTCATTTTTGTTAAAAATCTGATAAGTGTCATTTCGGTAGCGCGACAACTCGTAACAGGCAACATTTCATAAGAAGCGACAATTATTTTGAGTTATGTAAATAATAATCGAGTCTTTCCCTTCTTGAAAACGAATTTTTTATTTATTTTTATTACAATTCGTAACAAGGCGTTGGCAAGTAGCGAACGCTTGCTCCACTTTGCTCCGGTGTGCTGTCTCATCAGTCGACTCAAAACTTGAATCAAGTGCCGTGTGCTGAAATTTTTTAGAAGAGATAGGAGAGGGAGAGAAGAGGTGGATTTAGGGGGGGGGGGCTTTTCCCCTCAGGGATTTGACCCCCTGCCGACCCAAAAGGTCCCCCTTTTTACTATTATGAGATATCCATTTTTGGCTGACTGACTCTAAAATTTTTCTAAAGGCGATTTCTTTTTTCAAAATTTGGCCTGCGGCGTAGAAAATTTAGACAAAACAAGGTCTATTTAGACTTAAAGGAGAGCTCGGAAAATCAATTTGGTCGACAATGACGTAAGAAAAAAGGTCAAAACAGTTTTTGAAACTTTAATTTTGAAAATCCGCCCCCCCCCCTCGAGAAAATCCAGATCCGCCCAGGGAAATTTTGATGTCCTAGCCTGGCCATAATTAGTGTAGCATTCTACTAACCATATTTAGTAGATGATCTAAATAAAAGTTTATTACTTGATCTTGGTTTGCATAATTAATTTTTTCAATGTTTGTCTCAAAAAAAATTGTGTCGATAAAAGTACGCCCATTGTTCGAATTTGAATGCTTTGTATCACAAACTATTCTCGCAGCCATCTGAAGTCAGACTCCGTAAGGACTTATATTATGACTTTGATCAGCAATCTTATCATAAAACCTTTTGGTCTCAAAATTATATATAATTTTCAATATCGTGGATAAAAATTTTGTAATTTTTTCTGCATTCGGAGGTGGATCAGTCAGTTCATGCATGTAGTCAAGGCAAGATAATTTGCTTACAAATGCTTTATTGGTTTGTTTTTACTTTGTTTCTGACGCATTTTCAATATCAAATTCAGACCAAAACGCAGATGAAGTGGCTGTTGATGATACAAAGCACAATAAAGTTTCTCTGTTACCAAGACTATTACCAAAACAAAGTTCAGCCACTCTCTCTCTAGACTACGACAGTCAGAATCCAACCAACAATAGCCAACAACTTTCGTACTCCAGCTACTAGAGAAAATAACTCAAGTAAAAAATAATCAACACAAGAGTAACGTTAATTAAAAAAATTCGACGTCGAATCTAATCATGAAAATGTTTAAAACACGCAGTTTCTCAATTTCAAATCTGTCACGCAGTTTTAATACGATGAACGTCAAACTGGCTTCTATCACAAATAAAATGATCAACCTTACAATGTCTGAAAAACTTCGCCTCTTTGCTTCACGTGCGTAACTAACTTGTCAACTAGAAGCATTACAACGTAGAAAGCCTCGGTTAAAACGAACCATTCATAATTCCTGTATACTTTTTTTGGTGAGATCAGTTCATCGATACATTATTTGTCTGTTTAAAAAACACAGTGATTTAAATCACAGCTAAAAGAACCAAACAAAAATGGGTGAATTCATCGGACACTTGAAGGAAACGAAATGGACCAACTGGAAGGCCTGGTTATGTGCCTGCTGCTGCTCTGGATATGTATGGGGAAAGGTCGCCTATGACGTAAGTGTCCCAAATTTCTGGACGTTTACTGAACCATCTTTTTGTGATTCCAGTTTTTTATTCTTTTTTTTCTTTTTTTTCGGAATTACTTTTAGAATTCTCAGCGAATATATGAAACAATCACGTAAAGAGAGGATTTAGTCTTCAATTATTTTTGTATATTGAGCGAAGTTTTGCAACTTTTCTAGAAGACAGCTACCGAATCGGCTACGTGTGCTGCCCCTGCGTAAACGCCTTCTGGTACATGAAGGCTGTTGAGCGCCTGCCCGATCCATGCATCAACAGGATCTGCGCCTTCTTCTGGATTGGCATTTGTCAACCATGCGCAGGTACGGGCACGCCTAGAATTCCATTTCCAAACATGTCTAAGCCAAACATGTTTAAACCAATCGAAAATTTGAAAACGTTAAATTATAAATCTGTTTTCAGTGTACGTCGCCGCCGCCGAGGACGGAATCGACCCCGCCAAGGAGTTCGGAGCATGGTGGAGCTTAGTTAAGAAGGTCGTTTGTATAGACCGGAGTTAGTTTGACATCAATCAAACTCCTCTCGATCTTCGCAGAAACGCGAAAACAAAGCACCAGCCAACCAACCAATCATCAAATGACTGACAAAATTTTTTAATCAACTCGGAGCTTAATGTACAATTATAAGATCATTTCGGCAATAAGAGATTATAGTTGAGGCCAATTTAAATTACTCCATTTCTGTAGAATCTTTGTTTTGACGATATTTGAAAAAAAAATAATGGAAAAATTC